TTTAATGTATGAGTTATTACTGAATACTAGAACTAGACTAATTATTTCATTGATTCTGATCATCAAATATTTTTCTTGCTTTTGGGCAACAAAGCTTCATCTATCAGTTTATTTTATACTCTATGGATCCCCTAAATTGTCGTATCATACTCAGGTGACCGTTAAGGTCCTTGGGCCTCTTGTTGATACTCGAAGTGAGTGAAATTTTAGCTATATTTCATGAACTGACAGAAACAATGCCAACCATATATAGCATGTGCAAATCACCTGATTCTATTATATATTTACATGCTCAAGATGACCGATGATGATGATGTTATGAGGATAGTATGGCTAAGTAAAAAATTCTCAATAAGTATATTACTGGAAAGCACATTGAGCCTCTGGGTAGATTTTTCCCGATGTCTTCCTGTTGTTTAATGTTTTGAAGCATGACTGATATAATTTATATTTTCAAAGGTTTCAAGATGAAAATAAAGGGTACAAGGAAGCTAACATTGCCTTTGGTGGTAATAAGTTTTGGGTTTTGGATTTCTGCCATACTCACACCGAGCTGGGTTTCCTGGTCCGTTTACTATCCATTACCAAACAAACCTGAAAAGGTACAAGAACAAATATAATTCTGTTTGTCTTCTTCGGTGCGTTAAATATTAGATGAAATAAATGGTGTTAACGGAATTGATTTCTTGTCGTACATTTTGATTTCAACAGCATCACATGTGCATCCATATGCATCAATATGCCCCACCCTACCCCAGAAGGTCAACATTTGAACAAACTTTAATCTACACTACAATACCAGAGAATATGAATAATTATGGTTCTGTTGTTTTAGAAGAAGATTTAAAGATATTTCCTACATCCTCTGGTAGTGTAGATTCAAATTTGTTCAAATCACGACCCCAGGGGGATCAAAATTTTAAAGAGAAGGTGGAAACAAACTTGCTTCCATATTGGTAAGTTTGACGATTCGTGGCTTTGCAATTCTTTTTTCCAACCTCTTTCTATATAAAACTTTGATTCCCTGTCGTGGCCATCCTACACCATGGGGTACTTGAATCTACACCACCTGAAGATGTTTCTATATTAATAGTACTATACATGGCTTTGTTGGTCATGAGAAGATACTTGGATCCCCTATTGTGGACCCCCCCCCCCCCCGGCCGGGTCATTATTTGAAAAAAAATGAATCTACACTTCCTGAGAATGCCTCCTAATTATTTAGATTAGTCTTGACTTTGCTGGTCATGAGAAGATGAGCTTTGCTATTCTTGATAAGATTTGTAAAAATTTCCCATATATTCCTGTGTTTAACTTTATTCCTCCGTATCCTCTGTTGTGGCTCACGCTACCTCGGGGTTTATGATTTGAACAAAGTTGAATCTACACTTTGTAATGACGCTTTCAAGTAAGTTTCATCTTTTCTGGTTCAGTAGTTCTTGAGAAGAAGATTTTTAAAATATGCCAATAAATTTACACTAATTCTTAATTAACCCCCTTTGAAAGAGGGCGTGGCCATTCCTGGTGAACAAACTTGAACTACCTCACTTGATCCCTTTGCTCAGGTGTGCTAAAAGTTAAAGGCTGAGGTAAAAACCCCACTCCAATTCAATGCATTTCAAAGAATATTTCCTACGTTTACATTTTAAATTTTCCTTCAACTTTCAGGAGATGATGATATGGGAATCAACACTGAATCACACATTGCTACACTATTATAATATATTCTTCAACGACTACGTAAGACATTTGTTGTAATAAAAAATGAAAAATATATTTAATTAAACTTGTATTTTTTCCAATATTAATGGTTAAATCTCTCTCTCAATCTGTCTAATATATATATATATATATATATATATATATATATATATATATATATATATATATATATATATATATATATATATATATATATATATATATATATATATATATATATATATATCTATCTATCTATCTATCTATCTATCTATATATATATATATATATATATATATATATATATATATATAAAATAGTGTGTGTGTTTCTCATAATGGCATTATTTTTAGGTACAAAGTTACACATTTGAAGATATACAAGGAAAAGCCTATTACCTTGAAGCATGCACATATCATTATCCTAATCGTAATTGCAAACGTTTTCCACTCAACCGCAATATTACAAATTTGGTACATTCAATTTGTAAGTTAAATGTATTTATAACTGTATCTGAAAGAGTTTAATGCAAAAAATGATAATTATACTGCAACATTAAAGTCCAGTAATAGCTCTATATAAAAGTGTTTGAATCGTATACTTTAGGTGAGATGATTGGCTCCGTTGCTGTCCTGGGTTTATGTATTGTTAGCTTTTTTCTCATTCTTCTGAAATCTGGATCTTCCCATAAAGTTCTTGCTGCGGGAATTTCTATGTTTCTTGCAGGTGAGTCGAATCTGTTTGTTTCATTCGTAATTTTATGCATAACTAAACTATTTGTTTTGGAGGACAACTCTGCAAAATAATATCCGCAAAGATAGTTTAGCAGTCTGTCAATCATTTGTGAGGTTGAATACATTTGCATCGGGATGTTACTTTGCATCAGCGCTTTCAGCAAATGTTCATGGATCTTATTGAAAAAACTTTTTAAGTGAAAGTTTACCCTTTGGAAATAGCTTCATACAAAAAATTTAACAGCATAATTTACAAGTAGGGATATAAATTTTGTTCTTGATCAAATAATTGTTTGTAATTTTATACAGCTTTACTTGAATTCCTTGTGATAATCAGTTGGATTGAAACGGACAACAAGGGATGGGAATTCTTAAAACGTAGTATTGGGAACACTGACAAGGTAGCATATGAACACAATTTTCCTTACTCCATTATTCTTGCCGGAGAGAGTCTGTTTTTTTAGTATCCTTGCCATGTATAGCATTTTTATTTTGTTCAAGTAATTAAACAAACAAAATGAGGAAAATCTAATAAACGACTTATAAGATAACAAAGTTTACAGTACAAGATATAAATATTACACACATTATAAATAGTTCGTTAATTCAAGCTGTAATTACTATTTTGTGGGATAAAATCATGCAAAAATTATCAGCAAAGAATTAAGTTCTTGAATTGTGTGAAAGTGGACTTTCATAATTTTGATACTGAACATGAACTTTTTTTGTTTGTTTTTATTTTAGGAGTGTTACTCTGAAATCGTTATATTTTATAATAGTTTAGGTTAAAGTTTAAATATTTCTTAATGCAATAAAATACATTTTTTGAAAATGTAATGACTGTTTACATATATATGTAATTACAAGTTTACATGCCTTCTCGTTTATTTGTTTCCATACAAATTAAATCTAAATATATTAATGATTGCTGTGAATAAAAATATGAAATAAGTTTAACTTCTACTTGTCCAATGTTTCATTTCATCCTTTCAAATATAACTCCTGTCTCTCCGTTTACCTTGCTCTGCAAATTGCGATGAGACCATATCTTTATAATAAAGAAGTAAATTAGAACATCTTCATTTAAAGAAGTATTGTTCATGTCACAAAGTTATTCAAAGATTGTAGGGAATGGTCATGAATAAAGATAAATGTATCTTGATATGCTTTATGGTGAATGTTTTGTGGATAATAAGATGAGATAAAATAAGATAAGCTTAGCTAATATTTATTTAAAGTCGGGTTTCGACAACAAAAAACATTACATCTGAAGAGCTATTTTCCGAGTACAAAAAATCATTACATATAAATACAACAACCCCATAGGATATAAAAGAAATAGTACTTTTTAAATATTACATTACTAATATATCACTATTCTCTATTCTTTTTTTTCCTAAATCACGCATTATGGGTTTAGAGTGGGGCTACAACCAGGAATCAAATTATACATAATGCATGTATACCTTAACAAGGAAAAAATTGCTTCAGAACAGCAAGCCATGATAGTGACATCATGCCGTGTAGATTCATGTTTGTCTTTTCCTTATTATTGTAATAATTTCATACTTGTCTGTTATGGGCTCTAAATTAGAAAATAAATGTTCTGTTCTGTTTGGTTAAGTCGTGACCCTTGGAGTGGGGTCAAAGTATAGGGACAAATATTTTCGTGGGAATAAAGAATAAGAAATTCTTTTTCAAAATTCTGAAAAGCAAAACTGCAAAATCTCCTTAGTTGAAAATAATAATAAAAGGTCTTTTGTTTATTGATTAATTAATTAATTATTTTCATTTTTGCATACATAATTTCAACAAGATCGTATAATCGTTTTTGAAGTAGAATGCTTTGTATTGTAAAATGATATCGTTATTAATTTTAGAGAGAGAGAGAGAGAGAGAGAGAGAGAGAGAGAGGGTACACTAGACATGTAGAAATCCAGATTTTAACGTCCTGAGGCGTGATGTGAGATTGCCACGCAATATGCACATACGAACCACTTAGCTACTTTTTAGAGAGAGCCGAAAAATGTCTTAATGTAATCGTCAAGTGCTTAGGTATGTATTTTTTTCAATGCCTATTAAAACATTAAGTATTCATTTATTAAATTCTGTGTATTATCTGGGATATGATTAATTTAACACTCATTTCAATTATAATTACTTGTTGATTAATGTGAAGTTCCTAATTGAACCAAAGAAAAGAACTCGTTCGTGATTACTGATATGAGAGTTGTTGACTTTCATCTTGATTTGTTTTATCAAATATAAATTGGAAAAGCATAATATGTCAAGACCTTCATTCTTGGTTCATTTTCAATGATTTACAAGACTTAGAATTCCTCAGATAAATCAAAATGAATTGTAAATAACAACCGCTCTCATTCTCGTTTCATAAGGGATGCAGGAACAAACTTTTGCGAATTTCCAAACATTTCTTCCTTTTCCTCGCGGTGGTTTCACGAATGGGACAAGATTATTTTGTTTGATTATCTTTATGTTCACAAGTGCAAACATTTCTTAATGTAATGTTATTCATTTAGGTCTTTCAAAAATGAAACGAAAGCTTTTCATGACGTTGACGTTAATATTTTTAACATTTGGGTTTTGGCTCGCAGCCCTGGTTACAGCAGGATGGCGAATCTCATCAGAAATGAAGCCATTTCCATCTGTTAGAATGATGGTATGATAATTCACAATTCACCCCCAATACCCCCCATATATATATATATATATATATATATATATATATATATATATATATATATATATATATATATATATATATATATATATATATATATATATATATATATATATATATATATATATATATATATTAGAGAAAAGAACATTCTTCGATTTAGTACTTTGTCCTAATTATGAAGCGATAACTAATTCGTTCAATTACATGTAATTGATGTAAATCGCATTAACTAATTCGTTCAATTACATGTAATTGATGTAAATCGCACTATTCCAGAAAACACTAGATATACCATACTTGATTTCTTAAAAATAGCTTTTTGCAACAAATGAAATATAAAATTCATAGATGATAAGTTTGGTCTGTTTGCAAAAGCCAATTTATCATCTTTTTTTCACAGGCGATGGTATGGAAAAATTTTTCGACACATCCGATTTTCATGAATAACACCCTTTCAGAACAACTTATCAAAGGCCAAGTAATGACGCTGCCTTCTGAATCAACAAATAAATATGTACCACATTGCCAGATCGAAAGTCAATTTTGAATTTACTATACATCACTTATCATATAACATTTTATTTATACCTGCAATACATGTACACGAACATGAATCAAAGAGGAAGTATTCAACAGAAAATAAATATATGTATTTTTACCTTTATTACCAAATTGTAACTTAATCATGAAATACATGGAGATAACGAACAGTATTCAAGCTCAAAAGTCCATTAAACATTACAAAATAGGTGCAGAGCAAACACGGCCCTCCAAAACATCAGAGGTGGGATCAGGTGCCATGGAGGAATGAGCATCCCCTGTCGACCGGTCACACCCGCCGTGTGCTCCTTGTCATGGTCGGGAAATAACGGAAAAATCCGTCGACAATTTAGTGTGTAAATAATGGTCTAACAATTTATATGCCTAACAATTAGTATGAAAAACGTCAGTCAGCATTTGACTCCATGATAAATTGTATTTGCTGACAAGGTCATTGTATCGACCATAGAACTTACAAAATGATGACTTTTAACGAGACTACTGATATTCTTGTTTCATCAACTTGTTTGTCAATAATTTACCTCGTTTTAGAAATTGTACATACGTAGAGCATGCTCTGGCGTATCAAATCAACTGAGAGATATAAACCCCTTATGCAGGTGATGAAGGTATATTGCTGCATAAGTAAGGGAAGTTGACGATTGAAAAGTTAAAGTCATCACGTTTATCATAAAGCTTGGTTGTTAGATTACCATTAACGTCTTTTCAAGTAAAATATCCAAATATGAAACAGATGTGTCAGACTCTGTAGTATCTTTTATCTCAAGCTCACCGGGATATATCGTATATAAAGATACAAATTATGGGTTTTGTATAATTTTGGGTCTGAATGTCTACAAGCACATGTAAATTTCTTTCTTACTATGACGTACAAATTACAAAAGCAATGTAAATTCCCAAATTAGAATCATTGTGGGTCATTTTTTCAACAATATTATTTTGTTTTCAGGTACTCAGAACGCAGGTCACCAAATACAGTGAAAGCATCTTCTATATGAAGAAATGTACATATGAAAGAATAGATGGATACCTTACAAACAATTGCTTTTCTTACACACGCACTAGAGATTCAACAAATGGTGGAGCAACAGGCTGTAAAATATAAGCTCTTCCTATTTTTCGTTTTTCATGACTCAATTTATCGTACATCCATAAAAATTCTATAAAAACTTGTATATATCTCGTATTATATATAATAAAAAGATTAAGATAACGAACTGTAAACCGATCTCATGAATCCTTTAAAAAATATATAGTGTGATCAGGGAATAAAACACAGACCCCTTGAAACACCAGAGGAAGGATCAGGAGACTAGGAGGAGTAGGACTCCCCTATCGACCGGTCACTCTCGCCTCAGACCCTCTGTATTGATCAGGAAATCTGTAGTTAAATGAAGTATAAATCATGGTCTCACAATCGGTATAAAACATGTCACTCAAAATAAGACCCAACGATAGGTTGTATTGGCAATCGAAGTTAATTATAACAACCAAAGAATTTTTGAAATGCTGACTTTTAACTAGACTGTAAGAAAACTGTAAGAAAACAACTCTTTATTTTTAGAATATTTATTTTTCATAACAACGATATAATTGTATTTACAACAATGACATTATATTAACCATAGGATTTTCAATATGCTGACTTTCAACGAGGTTCTTGAAATCCCTGTAAAATTATCTTATTTGTCAGTAGCCTGTCTCGGTTTAAAAAAAAATGTGATCGTGCTCAGACAGTAGTGTTATTAAGAAAAAAAACTTAATTCAGGATATTTATACTATATTTCATAAAAACTTTTTAAAACATTGAGAAAATTTTTCTTCTGTGATCTCTTGTCTTTCAGTGACTTGGACTGAGATGCAGATTCATTATTCTGCGTTTGTAGTTGCTTTAGTTTTGTGCCTTATAAGCTTTTCTCTTCTTGTGACGAATTCTGGATCCTTTTCTAAAGTACTAGCCGGAGGAATAGTCTTTTCCATTGCAGGTAATGATTTTTTTTTCTGTTTCTAAGATTTGGCTTTTCCCAATTGTAGTCTTTTTTTCACTGTTATTTTCAACAGAAAAGTAAATATTTTTAATTTCTGAATAATTACCCCAAACATTTTAGAAAGAGCATCTGATAAACTATAGCTAAAATACGTAAGAAGTAACCAAAATGGCTCAAGAGTTTTTAAGCAATCATTTTCACATATTTATACTTTTTAAAATAAAGAAATCGAATATTTGCAAGTACCTACAGACAGTGAATATTCTATGTAATAGTGTTATTAAAATTGGCCATTCATTTCAGTTGTATTTGAACTCAGTCTGGTTATTCGGTGGATTATACTTAACATGGCTACGAACAAGTATTATAATTCCATTGAAAATTTGAAGTTTTGGACAGAAAGAAAAATGTTTGTGAGCCTCAAATTTCCGTACTCCATCCTTTTAGCTGGCCAAGGCTTAATTTTTAGCGCCATGGTCTTGCCCATTACATTTGTGTTATACAAGAAATTACGCAAAAATACAACAAACAGCCTGAACAATGAAGAAAATGAGACTCTTCTATAATGACTGACAGAATTAATTAAACAGTTTTATGGTCTTTCATCAACATTCTTAAAATAATCAAAATGTACCATGGTTATTATTTCAAGTTGATTATTTCCTAGCCTAATATAAACATGTGCATTTCAACACTTCATACATGTATTTCTTTTTGTATATTATTTTGTTTGATTTAAAAAATTGGAATAAATATGTATGTAATAAACGTTTTTAAAAAATTAATTTGTGCTTTTACGTTATTTTTTTTTTTGATAAATTAGACGTTAAAAACTCGAAGATAAAAATTTGTTATGGATAGTTTAGAATTCTATAAATTCTATAATTCAGTATTGTTTGTGCATATTTAAAACTGAAACATGATTCAATACTCTGGTATTGTTACCTGATGTCCAGTTTAAACAGCTCCCCTCTTGTAATAAAAAATAATGGTTGGAAAGTTAACTTTATATAATTTAATTCTGGTTATAACGTTGTGTTTGATTGGATAAAAAAATTAATTTATATTGTCTAAATTGGGTTACCTACGTCACAATCACTTGCGTCAAATGCATATCGATCCGCCTGACGTTACATTTAAATTTTGTACGATTTGAAATGATTTTTCAAGGGCAATCATCTTCTTTATTACACTAAATGAATGCAAAGTAAATTATAAGTAATGAAATTAATAGCTTCCCAATTTATTTAAGTGGGTTGGAACAGTTTACGCTTTTTTATAAACCGCTTCGCGGTTTATAAAGCGTAAACTGCCCCAACCCACTTTATACCGTATAAATTGGGTAGCTATTAAATTCATTCCTTAAATAGAATCATATTTATTTTCTTGTGATCTTATTACGTACATGTAAAAGGTAGAAAAGAAGATATACACAACATTTGAAAACCTCTTGATTAAACTTTCCTATAGGATATGTATTTCTTTCAAACTATTAACGGCTTTATTTTGACAACGTCTTGTTCAGAGGTGGATCTTTGTTTTTCAAAGTATTAATTGTGATGTTTTATTTGTTTTGTTATTATAAATAAAATTTGAAATGAAAGATATGTTTTCTAGATATTTTTTCATAAATTTATGCAAAAGTTAGAAAATAAATGTTTCCTCTTTATTCGCTACGAGCTTAATATTCCTTTATGTGAAATAATATAATATTTTTATGAGAAATCATTACTTTAAACCTCTGCTGTGTTGTCACCACGATTACGCTTCAATGTAACAATGATTTCTAAATTTTCTTTATGCTATCTGTGTAACAAGGTCTTGAAGATATATATATCTGGCAGTTTCGATTATCCATTTCTTTCCATGAAATGACAGTATCAATCAAAACTAAAGCATAAATTTTGTGTAGCCATGCTGTATTACCATGGTTGCAATATGAATAATATTGCGATGCAAAAAAAAAATAAACGTAATGTCAACTCTTTGCATTATTTTTCTACCGTTGGCGATGGAGGTTGATTATGTATCCCTTATAATTAATTAATATTGAACGTTATTAAGCATATAAAATTTACGAGGGATGTTCGAAAAGTTCGGGGACATTGTTAATCTTTGTTAAATTATATTCAAGAAATTCAAGATCACCAAATTATCAGATATAAATAAATATATTTATTTTGTAAAATTTTGTATATTTTATTTGTTAATGTGTGAAGTTTCATTCCATATATATATATGTGATTATAGGTAACTCATGTTATTTATTTCTAAAATTAAAGTATTTTGTTACCACGAAGCATAGACCAGGATTGTTACGTCAAAAAAGACATGTCAGCTATTTTTTTTGCTACTGACTGTAAAGTTCTTGTGTTTGCCTAAAAAAAAAAAAAAAAAAAAAAAAAAAAAAAAAAAATCCACAGATATTAGGACTGCTATAGATTCTAACAACCAAATACAAAATTGATTCCCAAAGCTGAAATGATTAATGAATATGAAATTATCAAATAATTTATTATAATTTCATAAAAAAGTATTTAATATAAAATCCCCCAAAAGAGTTTTCAGTCCGTTTTTACTATGTTAGTCTACAGCGATCCATTCTGATATACTGATCCCGATGTTTTTTTTTTTGTTTTGTTTTTTTTTTTTTTTCATAGTGTTTAGTTGTTTAGTTTGTGTGGTAGTCGTATATGATATATTTTCAACGCACAGTGTCTTAAGTATAAATATCGGATATAAATGCTAATAATCAAAACCTAGCCTATCAAAACTCAAAAGCATAAGTTACAAATAGGAGTCCGATGTATTTTTTGCAAAATTGGTCAAAGGTTAAGGTCAAGTGGACTGTAACTGTTATTTTTCATAATGTTTATGAAAAAAAGTGCACATGCTAAATACAATATACTTACTAGTACATCTTTTATGTCAAAAATGTGCTGTATATCGGCACAATGAATTATTTTGAAAAAGTAGGTCAATAGTCAAGTTCACGATATACGAGATCGGTCACTTTGATATTTTACAAAAAGTATAGTTCCATGCAATTTATTTTTAAAATATCAAATTCATATCTCTTATGGTTCTCGAGATCTAAGATGTGACAGAGGGACAGACGGACGTACGGACAGACAGAGAGGCGCCTGTAAAGTGATCCCTAAGTGTTGCTCTGCTCTCCTTATCCTGCTTCCTCCAGAATTTTCAGAGTTTATTCTGGAGTTTTCCCGCGTGCAACACAAAATTTACATTGCTAGTCGCTGCTCCGCTGCATTCTACGACATCATCTTTTTTTCCCTTTTTAATGAGAACTTATCTTCTAAAATTGATTTCATTTCAAAGAAGTAAAATATTAAACACAATTATTTAGGCATATGAAATGATGTAACAATATAAACTATGGTCGTCTAGATTTTTTTCTGTTTTCGCCATTGTACAGAGGTGTCCCTGACAAAAAAAGTTTAACTTAACTATAGTTAACTATAGTTTACTATAGTGCAAATGGCAACAAAGTAAAAATATTTTGTACTATTGGTCAGTGCAGTTTGTTTATGCTTATTAAAGATTTAAAAAAGCTGAAAAATTCAATTTTGAAAAATTTTCAGTCTATTACCATGGTAAACAAGATACATAGTATTATGATAGATTGCTGTTTCTTATGGCAAGCAATGAACAAAGTATCATCAAAATCGGTGATCATGCGTGCCAAAGTTTAACTTGTTATAGAGAATCGCTTTTCAAAATTTTCTCACCCTTTAGTGAATATCGAACAATGTAACTAAACGTCATATATAAACTTAAAGAACATGTGACAGAAGATCAGAGCAACAGAAAGTTTCACATTTTGTCTTTTTTAAGTAACAGCAAACTTCATTTTATGCTTCTGATAGCACCCTTTGTTGGAGTATCAATGAAATGGAATAAATATTTTTGAAGACAAGATAATTTATTTTGAGTTTATTTTCACCTAAATTTTAGACACACTAGAAGGAAGTGCAAGTTCATATAAGTCCGCCCGACCAGATAACTTTGCTAAAATTTTATCAAGATTACTTAAATGAAATTCGAAATTATCCATGATTTTTTTCAAAAAATATTTTCTTATATAATAAACCTACCAAAGATTAAAGCTGTCTTGATGTGTTAATTTTGGTCAAGTACATGTATATCAAATATCTTACAACTAAATGCAAACAATACACTATTGGTTTTCAAACTCGGTAATCTGTATTCCATTGTTGTCGACGCCATCAATTGCATTATCTGTCGATGAAGTCTGTAAAGTAAACAAATGTTATATATAGAAAGAAAATTCAAATTCATTATTAAATAGATAAAAATAGCTTTATAAAATGGGCTTTTATTTTACTCCAAGTGTTACTCACCGTCTCGAAAACATCACCGTCTCGACATAAACAGCGAGGTAATCCTTGAAAACAACATATCAAGTAAAATAACAAAGTACTTAAGACAAGAAGAAAAACAAAAATGCCTATATCTAGAGCAGATGGTATGTTTTCCATGGTATCGCAAACACGGTACGAATCTACTAGACTAATAAACGCACGTGGGGGACAATTTTGATAGCAAGTATTTCCATATATATACAACTTTTTACCGAAAAGGCACATGGAATGGCTGATACATTCATTCAGATAAGTCACATACGTATCTGGGCACACTGAGTAGCAAACAGTTCCATTAAGACTTTCGTTTTTCAATCCATATGGCTTTATGCTTGTGCAGTTGTCAACACATGTATCATCTACAATAACCATATTCCGAGGACACCATCTGACACAATGTCTTCCGTTAATGAGAAAAGAAAAGGGGCATCTTGCTGTACATCGATACCCATTTGTGGGATCTTCAATGAAATATGAGGAATTTGGACACTTGTTGACGTTTGAACACACATTATCTATCAAAATATGGGTTTTTATTGGACACATTTGAATACATTTTTTTGTACCTTCCAACAAAACTGTTTCTTTTGGACAAGTATCAGAGTCCATACATACATTGCCAATGTCAGAAACAACATATAATGAGTTATTGTTGTTACAGTTTGAGCCACAAATTCTGTTATCAACATAGAATGCGTCTTCGGGACATTTTTCGTCACATATATTTCTATTCAATACATAGCCGTCCGAACATTCTCGAACACAAGTTCTGTTGTGTTTATATAAAAAGGGAAATGATCCAAAGCATTGTTCTTTACATGTAGATAAGTAGTGCACTAAACCTTCTGGACATTGACTGTAGCAAGTGTCATTGTAGAGAAATTCATTTTCTTTACAATATTCAACACAAAAAAGAGTTTGATTTTCTTTTAAAGACATTACACTTTTGTACGGATGGGATTCAGGACACTGTGAAAGACAGGTGTAGTTAAATAAGTAAAAGTTTTTTGGACATTCCTTGACACATTGGCTTATGCTGCTCAGATATAGCGCATATTTTTCCGCAGGACAGCGAACAAGGCATTGCTTATGATAAATAGTTGATTTAAAAACTGGATTTTCATTTACAAATGGCCGAAGAATACCACACTTTTCGACGCATTTCTTGTTCTCTACCTTATCAAGATAGGTATTGTTTGGACATACAGAAACACAAACATTTTTAAAAGATGCCATGTCAGGCTGGCATTGTTTGGTGCAGACCCATATCCTGTTGAAGGATGATGTCTTGAGATACATCAATGGGTAAGTTGTTGGGCATTCCTTTCTACAGCTTCTATTGAAAAGCAAAGGAAGCCCATGTGGACACATTGTATCGCAGGAATATCCATTAACTGCTGTAAAATCTGGGCATTCCCTTAAGCAGTGTTTAATATCACGGGAATGGAAGACAAATGGATGGGATTTTGGACAGGTTACCGAACAAGACTTTTTCCCAGAGTAACACACACCATCACAAGAATAAGCTGTCATATATGGGGCTTCCTTTGGACAATTCATTAGACATGTTTTGTTAAAATCAACCGTATATTCCGGACAGTAATTTAGGCAGTATCCATTAAAACAGTATGGAATTTGCTGATTACACATAATTTTAAGGCATTCTAAGTTTCTGTGGGGGCTATTTATACAATATTTTATGAATCCATTGTCCTGTTTGAATGTCAAAATTGGGCAGTTGTCGAAACATTTTTCTTGAAAAACATACTGATTTCCTGGACATGTTTCTTTGCAAAAGGTTTTTGAAACATAGTGTGTTTTGGAATTATATATACGTGTTGTAACAGTCACTTCTCTTGGCAAGCAGTTTGTTTTAAGAACCTGAAAAAGAACATACATGAAATCTAAATAAACACAGACACGACAAATTAAATTTGAAAATTTTGGTATACAAGTTTAAGAAGCAAATAATCTCATTTTAATTACGCATGAGTAAACAATGTAAATAATATCAACAACATTACTTATTGCAATTAAAATCTTATCGAGTAAATTCATTAATTATACAACGGTGCGCAGGACATATTAAATGCTTTCTGTTTGTTAAAGACATGTTTCCAAGGATGTCATAGTTTAATCTTATCAGAACTGAATCTTAATAAAAATCGTTTCTAGGTAGTTTCCTACCAAATAAAAACAGGTTGTGGTAATTAATGTCTGAATTACTGAATCAAGTAGTGTAAGTTATTAACAATTCTCGTCTATGGAAGATAAGTGCAGGATTATTGGCGTCTTGATCTACGTACAATGCATTACTATCATAAATTGTGAAAGGAAAGGGTGCAATATCGCTCTGTTTAATATTTTCAGTTCAATTTGCAATATTTGTAAATCAGGGACACAAAAGATAAATGCATTGAGATTCGATAAGTTTAGGCTTTAATATATTGTCCATATAAAAGTCATAGTAGCCTATTCATGTGTCTTTTTCAAAGGCATTTATTATTTTTCCGTGATTTTGAAAATAAAATATGTATAAATACATGTCCTTTCGTTTTTATTACCTTATGGAAAACTCCCAATAAATTTAATATTTGCAATTGCAATAAAAAAAAATCTATGGTTTTGTATACATATTTCATATACAATTCCCTAAGACGTCACATTTTTTATTTTTATATTTTTTCTCCATCTATTAACACAATTTTTTTTAAAAATAAAGCTATGTTAATATGAATCTGAAAAATGTAAAAGGAAATATAAAGCGGGTGATTTTCCTTACCTCTAAGTGAACAAAAATGCTATGGATTTGAAGTATCGCAAATATTAAGCCAAGGATATTCATATTATATCGATGTGGTTGTGACGAAAGTTTGAACCAATCTACCGAAAAAGTAAATACATCCAACAAATTACACCGATTATGCAGGTGTAGACGAAAGTGTATCACTGAGGAAATAATCTCACTAGGATCACATGTTCATGCTCTAAAATGTTCTATAAATGTCATAAATATGATGCATATAATATCAAGACAAAAGACCGTGCTGAATAAGCTGGAAGTGAAACATCAAAAGGTTAAAATAATAACGATAAAGATATGATAATCGTTTTGTAAATTGTAATAGTATATTATATTATAAAATATTTAAACAGATTTCAAACAGTCATAATTGTGTTATTAGTTTTTAAAAATATCTTTGAAATTCATGGAGAATTCATGTGAGTCACGAACTTGCCTTGGGGTTTTCAAAAAAAAAAAGAAGTACATTAAAGCATAAAATATCTCAAAAGTTGATTTTTAACTGGGTTTTCCTTCTTCAGTTAATTGATTGCAATGTTTGTGCACAGAAGTAGATCAAACATAAAGTTACCTGTGTATAAGACGTTTTATGAAGGAAAAAAAACCCAGTCATGTTTAAAAGTATGGAGGAAAATAAAGCTGGGACAATTGGAATCCTTTCTGCGTTGAATATTACACACCGATTTGTGTTGGAGATTGTTTTACATTCCCGACGTTTTTGAAAGAATACATTCATTCGGAAAATCCTGTATTTGAGACAATACACCCTTATCATCTGCATATGGGGTTTATGTCTCTCAGATGATTCGATATTCAAGAGCATGCTCTACATACGAACAATTTCTAAAACGAGGCAAGCTATTGACAAACAAGTTGATGAAAAAAGAATATCTCGTTTAAAGTCATCATTTCGCAAGTTTTATGGTCGATACAATGACCTTGTCAGTTAATACAATCTATAATTAAGTCGAAGCTAATTGACGTTTTTCATACTAATTGTTAGGCTATTATTTACACGCTGAATTGTCTACGGATTTTCCCGTCTTTTTTTCGATCATGACAAGGAGCACACACTGGGTATGACCGGTCGTGAGGGGATGCTCACTCCTCCATGGCACCTGATCCCACCTCTGATGTTATAGAGGCACGTGTCTGCTCTGCTCCCGATTTGTATTGTTTGAATGGACTTTTGAGCTTGAATACTGTTCGTGATCTCCATATTTTTTTCATATTTGATTAATTATCAATGTTGGTTTTTCAAAGGCCGATGAATAGCAAAATGACTTTATTTTAATGCTTGTCGTAAAAAAATTTCTGAAAGTAGCATAATGTCATAAAACCCTGTATTTTTAAAGCATATGAAGAAAACGAAAATTCCAAAGAGCTAGGATCACTTTATGCATAAAATGGCCTTGTTGATATACCAATTTATTGACTAACACCTTATGTTCCATTTTAAACATCAAGATAAAGAAGAGACTTGGTGCTTTCATTTCCTACTAAAATTTTTCTCCTTAAAGGTCAGGTCTTGGAAAACAAGCTTTATGAATTGCAATGTTCTTGAATTTTAAGGAAAACAGGTATATTTAAGTACTTTCAGAGAAGAATAATAATATGAGCGCACCCTCTGATCTAAAAAATAAAACATGTTTTGTAATCCTCGGTTCTATCAGTAAATAATTTGCATATTTTAGATCAGAGATTGCGCTCTATATTAATTATCGAAAAATAGCTTTAAAAAATGGCTGTTTTTGTAGAATTGTTCAGGATATGAGGAAAATGACACATTTCATGACATCATAATGCATTGACTAGCCAGAAAATTACGTCATTTTTAGTAGATTCGCAATCGCCAAATGTCTAAATGAAATTCAATGCATTGTCAACTAAAACTAAGCAGTTTCAGTTTTTCAGAAATTCACAGGGCCAAGAAAAGGCCCTTAGTGAACCTTGTTCTTTCTTCCTTTCTTATCCAATAACATTTTACTTTCAGGTTGTGTAATAAGGAAATTAATATTAAAAGAATTATGCTCGTCTTTTGTTTGTTGGCTAAGCATTTTACCCGTTGTATTATTTCTGATATGTTTCATGAAGTATGAAAATAACAGCAAAGGTGATAATAGAATTTGCTTAGAAGTCCAATTAAACAATAGGGGACAGCAAAACATCAGCGATGGGATTAGGTGTCATGGAGGAGGAAGCATCCGTATATCTAGTGACAAAATTGAGTAGTAGTAAATAGATAAATTCAAAATACTTTTGTTATTTACAAAGAAGTAAGTGTGATCAAATGTTACCGAACGATTTTCAAAAATTAGTATTAAATATGATAGTTCTGACTCAAATGCTGACTGACGTTTTTCATACTAATTGTTAGACCATTATTTACACACTAAAATGTCGACCGATTTTCCCGTTATTTCCCGATCATGACAAGGAGCACACTGCGGGTGTGACCGGTCGGCAGGAGATGCTCACTCCACCATGGCACCTGATCCCACCTCTGATGTCTGATGTTTTGGAGGTCCGTGTTTGCTCTGCACCTATCTTGTAATGTTTAATGGACTTTTGAGCTTGAATACTGTTCGTTATCTCCATACATTTCACTCAACGAGTCGGAACTTTAGGCTTAAATTTGCCAACAAAGGAAAAGATACTGTGAACATTATAACATTCTTAATCATAAATGTTCAGTCTTGAATTCGACCATATTTCAAGTTGAAGTCTATACCTTTTATTTCTTACAGATATTCCCAAATTTGTGCCTCCAAACTTTTCTATAATAAACAATCCTTACAGTGCCTAGATATTGAACATTTAAAACAAAATCCACTTCAGTGTTCTTGCTCTTCTTTTTTCAACTGCAGTCTTGTTGGACACTAGACACGTCAAAACCAGTGATTTTAAACTAGTTGAAAATGAAGACCTAAAAGCAATCATCTTAAAAAGTCCTAAATACATGGAGCCCCGATCTTTCAGTTGGCGACAGAACTTCATTTCTAGTATGAATTCTCTCAAAGAGTATGCCAGACGTTGGGCTAAATATGAAAGAGAAGACCTGATTACTTTGTCAGAATGGATTAAGTTTTTTAGGAAGTTAAAGGCAATATGCAAACCATCCATCCTTCTGTTTTCACTAAATCACTTAATCGGAGGCGATTCAAGAATAAGAAAGACCACATGAACAATATGTTATGATTCCAGCAGACAAGGTCTGTAATAATAAGTAAGGCTCATTATTGTAAAGCTCATTATTATAACTGTATTTCAGAAGAACTTGGTTTTAATTCGACGTCTGAAAATCCATCTTATACTCACAGTACACTTTCTAAGGATGAAATTCTTCAAAATCATATTTCATTTTTTAATACTTTTAACATTCCAGTCAGCCAAGGTGAGTTCATTATACCCTACCTATACTGGTTCCCTAAACGTCATAAAAATCCTTGCAAACAAAAATAACCTGGGTTCCTAAGCTTCATAAAAATCCCTATAAACAAAGATCACTTTCGATGCGCTTTAATTTTCGTTGTTTTCGTGGTATGGTAAATGCTGACTGACGTTTTTCATACTAATTGTTAGGCCATTAAATTATTTACACACTGAATTGTCGACGGATTTTTCCATTATTTCCCGATCATGACAAGGAGCACACGGCGGGTGTGACCGGTCGGTAGGGGATGCTCACTCCTCCATGGCACCTGATCCCACCTCTGATGTTTTGGAGGTCCGTGTTTGCTCTGCACCTATTATGTAG